GGATTCAAATTAACCTGGTTTTATATCAGAGCTTCTTAGCCGATATGGTGACAGTTCACTTAAAAAACAACGGGCAATATAAATATTGGTACTATTTAATATTCTGTTGGGCAGTTTTATAAAATTGACAAATTCTAAATAAGAGTTAATAGCTTATTCGTAATGTGTGATGAATGTGATAAATTTTCGATTGAAAGTGTGCCTATAATGTGATAAAGAAGGCAATGATGGATCGCCAAACACCAATCAAAAATCCGTAGCTGTCTCAACCTAGGCTCTGAACCCGGTATTCAAAAGCGCATGAGAATAGTTTTATGAATATACTTTTGTAGAAACGGTGGAAAAGTCGTACCGTTTACATATTTCAAATTATATTTTTATGTTTTTGTTAACGATGTTGAACATTTTCGCTTAAAATTGCGCAAACTAGCATTAATTACTCATAACGTTAATATTAAATTTATGAATTTTCAAATTAGCTTTGTAGTAAAATACGAATTTTCTTAACGTAGTGGCTGTCACCAATCACGGTTTTAGGGCTATAAGTCCCTAATTCCAAAATTAGTCAAAATCCTTCCGCTGGATTTTGAGGTATATATAACAGACAGACAAACAAACAGACATAGCTAGTATTATAAGTATTATAGAGTAGGATATACCCAACATTTCTCTGCAACATTTCTCTGCTGTGTTTTTAAAATATACAGTGCTGAAATAATAATTAAACAATAATTAAAACAAAATTCAAAAGTTTTAACACTATCCCACATTTTATAATAAGTTTGTGCATTAGGTCATGGAGTCCTGGAAAATAACTGGTTTGTTATATATTTTAGTTGGTTTATAGTTGGTATATATCTTAGAGCCAAGAATTAAACAAGCCTGGTATAAATATAAAAATATCAAAGTTGAACATCCCATAGTTGATATAAGCTTGTTATCAATAAATAATTCGTTATAGTAAAGATGCAAATTGTATGTTGAGGATTTACGCGAAAACAAAATTTACCTACTTACTGCATGCTTATGTTAACAGTTATGTACACATCTAGGCATATACCGAATACCACGCCGTCTATACTATGCGTGAATTCTTCGGGTTGCCGGAAGTTTACCCCCTTTACATATTTCTAAGATTTCAGAGAAATTGCTATGTACGGCCTGTAATTTCAACCCCCCCCCCCTCCTCAAGAAAAATTATTTGTGTAGCTTAGTTGGAGTTTTACCCCCTGTACAAATTACTTAAGTGTTCACAAAAATGTCGATGTACGGGCTGGAATTTCAGGCCCACAATGAGGCTAACACAAAGACCTGAATTAACGTACAAACGAAATCGGTCAAATTACCAATAATTGAGTTCTAGAATGTATAATGACAGCACATTCTTTAATGGATTCAAATTAACCTGGTTTTATATCAGAGCTTCTTAGCCGATATGGTGACAGTTCACTTAAAAAACAACGGGCAATATAAATATTGGTACTATTTAATATTCTGTTGGGCAGTTTTATAAAATTGACAAATTCTAAATAAGAGTTAATAGCTTATTCGTAATGTGTGATGAATGTGATAAATTTTTGATTGAAAGTGTGCCTATAATGTGATAAAGAAGGCAATGATGGATCGCCAAACACCAATCAAAAATCCGTAGCTGTCTCAACCTAGGCTCTGAACCCGGTATTCAAAAGCGCATGAGAATAGTTTTATGAATATACTTTTGTAGAAACGGTGGAAAAGTCGTACCGTTTACATATTTCAAATTATATTTTTATGTTTTTGTTAACGATGTTGAACATTTTCGCTTAAAATTGCGCAAACTAGCATTAATTACTCATAACGTTAATATTAAATTTATGAATTTTCAAATTAGCTTTGTAGTAAAATACGAATTTTCTTAACGTAGTGGCTGTCACCAATCACGGTTTTAGGGCTATAAGTCCCTAATTCCAAAATTAGTCAAAATCCTTCCGCTGGATTTTGAGGTATATATAACAGACAGACAAACAAACAGACATAGCTAGTATTATAAGTATTATAGAGTAGGATATACCCAACATTTCTCTGCAACATTTCTCTGCTGTGTTTTTAAAATATACAGTGCTGAAATAATAATTAAACAATAATTAAAACAAAATTCAAAAGTTTTAACACTATCCCACATTTTAAGAAAAACGTAGGTCATTTCCCTGAAATGAAAAAATCGATGGGAGAATCAAAATGTTAACTCAAGTAAAAGTAAACAAACAAACTATAATATGGTTAAATATATAGTTAAACCAAAACAAATCTAACAGCTTATGTATCTTCAATATTTTAAAGGTGATAAATTACAGACCTTTAGAGTTAGTATAGAACATATACTGACGTATAAACATCATTGAAGGTTTTTTTTATGTTGGCACACAAATTAAATATAATAAACACGTAGTATGTTAAAAAAAAAGGAAGTAACTATGAGAAAACGAAATCTAATACTTAACATTGAGTTTCTGTACTAGGAAGTACATAGTTTTTTGCTCGCAGTAGCCTTGAATCTTGACTCCTAGTCCATCCTATATATAAGTGGGAAACTGGAGGGATAAATATTTCAAAAAGTTCCCTCGCTACCTGCAGAACCCGCGTGGCAGTTCAACTGTTTTACAACCCTACGAAACTGACCCTTATAATCCGCTCTAATGATCGTGGCAGTTCAAGTATCTCGGGACGGCCATAAAACTCGTGGCGGTTCAATAACAGCCGATTAGTAACCATGGCAACTTGTTGAATGCGTATGAAGGGAAACCCAAGAAATAGAAGAACAAAGAGAAAGAATGACGTTGTTATCTTTATACCCTTTTTACAATTTCCGTTATTGTTATCTTTATGTAAGATTTTATGATTTTGTTTTATAGGTTTATAAAATAATTCTTTTTAACTACGGGAATATCAATTTATAATTTATCAACGTGCTTCTCTTCTGAAACAGCAATACCAGATGCATAATTGAGTCAATGACCTAAAATATCACGATTGTGCAATATTGTATTTTGATGTTGACAAAAGTTTGTATATATCCATGGTCCCTATAGTTTAATCATTTAATATGTACACAATCAATGCTAAATAATCGTGGTTAGTTCTAACTTTATCTTTTATTATTCAAAGTTTCTACACAGTAAGACAATCCAAAGTCAAACCGGGCAATGAATACCCAAAAAACAACGTATCTTGTCCTGTGATTGGAATACCACTCGCCGGCCAGTCCTTTAGGTTTAGGGAAGTAGTGCAAGTCTATTTAAAGCTTCAAGGTCTTACCCACCCCTTCCCCCTCCGGTCCTACTTGACTCACTACCCGCGTTCCTTTCGAGGTCATTGCCCAACCCCTCCCACCCTTCTATTGTTTGCCTTTCTATTGTTTCTATTCTGACTTTTTTCGGGAAACATTAAATCTATTGTTTACGTAACATCACAGTAGTAGGCTAGATTTTTCTACTTTGAAACAGTGCTGTAAAAAAAAACTATTACGCAGCGCCCCTAGTGTCAGGAGCGAGACAAGCACGAGTTGACTTTCATTTGACCATGGTAGTTCTTTTCTGCTTTATGTCTGTTCGTTCCAGACGAATCTAATCGTAAAGCAAAACAGCCGATAACGACTAAACTAGTTATCAGTATTGCATCATACGGCTTCTTTGCCGTTTGGTGTTAGGTCGTTGGAAACGTATTGCTGTAATTTTGTCCTGGGAACCTAATGGTGGCTATGGAGATTAAGTTTTCTGTCCAAAACGTCAAAATATATTGCCTATCCGAAAAAGTCGGATATATAACAGATAGTGTCGGATATCGAATTTGGGCCCGGTTCGGATATCCGTATCGAATCCGACCCGATCTTATAAACTAGTTTTGGAGCTGATAAAAAAAGATGCTCTTTGCCATTACTTCATCATATCCTCCAGTTGTTCATTGTTGTCTGCTGTGAACAGCTGGCAGCTACACTGTCTTTGTACTGAATGCTTTTATATGTTTTTAAAAATCTAAAAAACAACTAGACATTGTGTTGGTTGGAAATAATTTACCAGTTGTGTAAAATTATCTTGCCAATAAATTTTCAAACATGTTTATTCCTAAAAACTCTTACCCTATTTTTAAAACCACTTTTATCATGGCTATTCAAAGTATCTCAGAGTAAAATAGGTAAAGCCTTTATCTTAACTGTGATTTTTCTTGACACAATCCTCGTAGTAGTAAAAGGTTTTGTTTTAATAATGTGTGGTACAGTAATTGTTGTTAGAATACCAGGAAAGTAGGATACTATCAATTTTCATAGTAATGTCAATGTATTAAAGTTAAAAATAATGGTCTAAATACAGTTCTGAGCAGAAAACCGCAAAAATACGGGTAGCCGCGTACCGTACCGATTTTGTACCGAGAACCGAGGTACAAAATATTGTACCGTACCGAACCGTACCGACCTTAAATTTTCTGTACCGCAGACCCCTAATTTTTGGTGAATTGAGAAATGCTTTGTTCGTAAAAATGAAGATGGAATATATGTAAAATAAAATTGTTGATTTTCTCGTGAACTACTCGACTCGACTCGACTCGATACTCGAGTATTAGGGCTAATTACTCGACTCGACTCAAAAAAACACTACTCGCCCATCCCTAATCGAGAGTCAATATATCCCTAGTGTAATACGTTGGTTAAGTTTGTTTTCACCTTAGGACAGGTTCAGATTTCAGATTCTGAAATTTTGTGTATTGCATTTTACCATTGAGATGGAAAAAGTCCATTATGAACCTTTAAATAACACTACTAGTAAAATTTAAATTATACTGCCAAAATTAAGTGATTACATAAAAATTCATTCAATTTTAAATCAGGTTATAACCTTAAAACCTCCACAAAAATGAGAAAGCTACTCTGATCTGAAGGAAGGCTTTATAGAAGAAAATATTGTCTTTCATAAATATTTCTATTCATAGAAGATATTAAAATTTGTTTTTTTTTTTATTTGTTCCAGGATCTACAAGTGCTTTTATTTTGACTGACGAATCAGTCAGTGAATCAGACCAGCTGTTGTCAGACAACGTTCTGTACTACGTCATTGATCCAGCCGCCACTGAATCAATGGAGTAAATACTTATTGTGTGTTTACACTATTTATTTTGTTTTCTTTAGACTCTTGTAGATTGATCATGTGTTATGTAGATCATTATTTGACATTACTTTGTCTTTAACTTTCCACTGTATTATTTTTGCTTTTCAAAGATAATATTAATTCAGTAATTATTATTGAGAGATCATGGATTTTTTATTTGTATTGATTTACGCCACGCAGATAAGCTGCAGTCAATATTTTGGCCTCATAAAGTTCAAGTTGAAATTAAATGTGGTTCCTTACACCATTTAAGACTGATAGTGGTTTAGATGCAATTTACAATTGTTAATCTTGGTTATTTGTATTTTTTATATGTCCTGTTTCATTTTTCCCTTCATAAGGTATTTAACACGATTATATTTTATATTGTATCTGTGTGAAGATCATCAGGTTTTTTTCAGTGTTAAGAACCCGTTAGCTACAAACTAAAATCTTACCATCCATTTCCAGGAACAAAATTGTAAAAGGTTTAATAATTATAAAGGAATCATTCAGTTAATAGAGTTCATTTGGATATAAAATTCCTTAAAGCCAAATTGTAAATAAGCCGTTTATTGTACATTTTCTACATTTTGGGAAAACATAAACTTAGATGCAAAATCAAGCAGTGATTTATATTTTACAAATTTGTAAGTTGTTTAATCCGGCTAATCGTAGTGATGACATTTTATTTTAGTTAACATACATTTGATGTGTTCATAATATAAATAATGATCTGTTTTGTTTTTATTTAATTAAAAAAAGGCAAAGTATTGATTTCCTCTGTATATAATGTATATTGTCACAGAAAACATACTACTATAACCCAGAATGCCAACCGCATGGTAAAAAGCATTAAGTGTTTTGAGAGAGCTTTGCCTGTCAATCGTAGGCAGCGCCACCAGCGTTGCCATGCACTCAGCATAGCAACGCTGGTGGCGCTGCCTACGATTGACAGGCAAAGCTCTCACAAACCACTTAATGCTTTTTACCATGCGGTTGGCATTCTGGGTTATAGTAGTATGTTTTCTGTGATATTGTATATCTAAATCAACAATTTGTATACTATTTGTACTATTTGTATATTATTTTGTACTATATTTACCTAATTTAAAAGACTGTTACCGGTAATATTAATAAAAAATTGTTAACGTTGCATATTTATCCTATGTATCTACCATCCCAGTCAAAGTGACAGCTTTATATATTTTTTAATGGTTTTAGTTTAGAGTGAGCTATTACCACAAGCTGTTATACCTGCGCTTCGCGATGGAGTACAAGGAAAAGAATAATGCTATTTTTTGTATCCGCTGTATAAAATAGTTCACATATATTATTTACTTTAGAAACAAAACACTTATTTAACACGTATTCAAATTATTTTCTTTTAATTCAGATAATTGTTTCAAATTCTCTATGCAGCCAATACAGCACATAAGTGGAACTGATGCATGTTTTAAAATACTTTAACTCTATGATTTAATTTGAAAAGAAAATCTTAAAAGTGTAAACCTACTTACTTCCTAAACCCTAATAATATTTTAATTTTAAGACAACAATCTATAAGAATCTAACAACTTACTGTAATGGTTATATTTGAAGCGTTACTTCTTTTTAATGGTTATTTATTGTAATGGAGAAATTGTGGGGGGGGTTTTGTCGCTTGTGAACACAAAGAAAGGTACTCGGGATTCGAATATAGAAAATTATATTTTACTAGTGTGTCTGTTGCTCGAATTCGAGCAATTGCGAAGCATTACAGGTGTTGTTTTAATACGAATAACGGTCATAATTTCTGATGACTTTATAAGAGTCGACTCAAAGATTATGGAAATACTCAAGATGTACACAGCAGTTAGATATAATCAAAATTTTTTGTAAATATCTTTTTTCAAAAGCTGACCTTGTTTTTTAGTGTTTTCTAAAAATGTTTCCCACTCATAGCCGCATTAGGTTGTCTATAATAACGATTATAAATGAAAAAAAAAAACATTATTTCTATTTCTTCTACTGTTCTTGGTTGTGTTCTATGACTTTCCTGTTTCCATTGTTTGCAAATCGGCTCTTTCAATTATTGCTCAAGAAATGTAGCACAGTGTTATTTAAGTTTTATTTTTAGTATATCAAATTGTCCAGTATTTCTCACTTTTTTCCATTGTAATTTTAAAAATTACACCAACCAAGTATCGTCTACTACAGATGCAATACGCCAAAGAATATCGTCTACGTGCAATCTCCAAGAAGTGGTAAAAAAGGCAGAAACCAACCCATACAATTAACTCCATAAGAAATAATTATAAGAGTTACTGTGATATTAGGATTTTCCACTGATTTGGTAATAGAACATTATATTGCAAAACATGGCACGATTTAGAAGAAAATCGATTTTAAAATTATAAAAAAATCATTGCAAATACTTCATTTTGACAAATTTAGTAAATCACAATTTAAATATTAACAGCAAACTGTTTCATTCAAAAGTAGTGTAAATGTATGCATATGGTCGTAATGTAAACAAATCTGAAGAGGGAACTTTAAAGGCCTCTGGGGCAGAGCCCCAAGGGAATTTACCTTGTTTCTCTTTTGATGGCTCATCTACAGACTAAGACCTTTCTTTAGAGACCCTACCAAGTTTCTACGCCCAGCCGTTCTCTGTAATTAGCTGTGACAATACCCCGTTTTTCCTCCATAAGAATAACATGGGATGGGAATTTAAAGGCCACTGGGGCAGAGCCCCAAGGGAATTTACCACGTTTCTCTTTTGATGGATCATCTAACCAAGACCTTTCTTTAGAGACCCCTACCGAGTTTCTACACCCAGCCGTTCTCTCAAATTAGCTGTCACAAAGAAAAACAGTTTCAAATTAATATATAGATTCCCTCTATCCCAAGAGACACATCTGAATAAAAAGCTTTACCAGAATTCCAAATGGACTTCTGATAATATGTTGGAATTTGATGGTAAAGAAGGCACGATTCCCATATACGGCGTCGAACATCAGTATTTTGCTGTAAAAAAGCGGAATAACAAATATTTAAATCTCTGTAATGTATTTCCAGGTGACATCGGCTTAATCACAGTTCACAGCCCTAGTGAAGTGCCCATGATACATAACTCTATCGAGTATTCTTTACGAGAGTGCAAATACGTCCGATTACAACTTGTACCAAAACTTATCAACACCAAGGAAGATCTAGCCAAATACCAGCCCTCTCAGAGAGGATGTTTATTTTCTTATGAAAACAATTTGACGATGTTCAAAATTTATTCAAAGAAGAATTGTGAGATAGAATGCCGTGTCTATTGTTCATTGAGAGAATGTGGCTGCGTACAACATTATCTTCCAAGACCCAATGATTCAGTCAAAGTGTGTGCAGGAATCGACTGCCACCCTTACTGTACCTGCGGCTGTCTACCTGATTGTACCTCTCTCACTTATGATGTTTTGTTTGAGGAAAATAGCAGTCCTTTTGGCAACAAGTGTGTGGAACAGTACAAATACACATTTATTGAAATTAACTATAAGGACAAGGAGGTGTATTCGACAATTTCCTACAGCATCAATAGCTTTGCTGAGTTTGTTGCCTACAGTTTAGGGATGATAGGTGTTTTCAACGGGTTCAGTCTCATGTTACTCTTTGAGCTCCTTTACTTGTTAACTTTGCGTCTTTGGTCCTCTGTCAAAGGCATAATGGCACAACAGAATTAAAATAAAATGTCAACAACATTTAGTATAACTGCTGATAATTTGATTTATAGATTTTGAGGTACCTTACTGAAAGTGACTCTTATTGTAATCTATAACTCTTCCTTTCAATCCTCTACAGTTCCTCTTTTACTCGAATACATTTTTACTAAGCACAATCTTTTTCATATATTTCTTACACTTTGAACCATGATCAATTTAACATGGTATAAAGACCCCGTTTTACTGTGTTTTTCATTAAACCCAGCGCTGATTTTGATTTTGTGATGTTTCTGTATATTTGTGGACTAATCAGTGTCAAAAAAAATGTATGTATTTTATGTAGAAGAGCTGCACAATTCAGTATCTTTTTAATGAAATTGAACCTTGTTTAAGATGAGGAACTTTGACCATTGCCTCAAAATACAGTAGGATAATCTACTCTATTTCACCTACCTACCTAAAAAAGTCTAAACCTCCATTGAGTGGTACCTCAATTATAATCACCCTTCATTTGTAATCAGCTGAAAAAATTTGTATGTCACTGTTTGTGTGTATTTGGATAGATGCTTTACACGCTTGTAAAGCTTTAGGATTACATTACATTGGTTATACCTTTGCCTATTAATACAACAATATCCAATATTTAATGGTTTTCTGTTGAATGAAAAAATAACACAATAATTGGTAGTATCAAAACATTTTGTGTGACTGTTTAAAAGTGTTGTATATGTCAGTAACTTAAAAAAAAATATTGTACACATTGTTACTGATTGCATTGAAAAGTAGTTGACTAATATATAGTCGTCTTGTTAGTAAAAAATTAGAGTCTAGAAAGTATATTTGATCAGTGTATGGAACACGAATTCAACAAAGATAACTTTTAGAATTCTTGTGTATTTTAAAGTAGCAGGCATACACCATAATGTGTGATAAGATTATCAAAAAAGTACAAAAGAGAATGCTGCGGGTAAATATATGTCGAAGAATCCATTAATCTTGAATTTCTTCAGAGTTTCTTCACTGGGGAAACTGCTTCAACTTTTGTTGACACATCTTTCTGCAAAGAAACCAAATTTCTATGTTCACCACCCTCAAAAGACAAATCAGCAGTTAAAGAAAATCAGTTGGATTTATCACAATTAAAATACAGTAGACTCCCTTTTATCCGGACTTCTCGGTCTGGATAACGGGGTTTCCAGTTAAACCTACGTCCCCTAAAACTCGACGAATTTATAATTGTCTAATGCTATATAAGACAATAATGATAAATTAAAAATTCTATATCTTGAGGGTTAGAAATAGAAAAAAACAATTTTTTTTACCCCTTAACCACATTCCCATAGTCCAATCATGCTCCATACTCATTCAAATAAAGTTTATTCGAAAAAAGCTATGTTAACATTGAACTTAATTTGTACGTTTAATCATATGTTTAACGTTTAAGCTTTATTCATTAAAATTGGATAATTTACAGGAGTTATCATCTAAGAGACAAACACACATATGAATTTGAATGGATGATGTTGACGATGTTGTTGGCCTCTAGGGACATAAAAACAAAAAAAGTATATCGATCCCAGGCACAAGTCTTTACCATAAGACCTACAGTAATAGCTTATTTCCTATGGAAAATTCTCTAAAATCTAAACTCTCAATGTAAAAATGGCAAATTAAAGTTTAATCAAAATAGGACAAGTCAAAAGTGACCAATTTTACCAAATAAATTTTATATTTCCTTTAAAATAACAGCAAACCTTAGTGTTTTCCTTGACTGATGTCCAGTGACAGAGAAATGAAAGTTTTCAAGGGGTTTTTGTACTTCATTTTGGCTCACATTGTAAAACTGTGATCGGTCATCCACTTGATTAAAGTAAAATTGTTCCAAATATTCACTTTCATCATCAGAATCAAACTCTTCGTAGGTCTCATACTGCATCGAAGGTAGGCCTGTGTAAAAACCAGACTATATTGTTCATTCTAAAACCAACTTATTTTTCATTAGAGGTGATGCAAAAACCAAAACTGATTACAGTATTTCCTTGCAAAATCTTGTCCAACATAACTAAACAAAACTATCATGTTAGGTAACATTTTTTCTTTTAAGACATGAGCCCAATTACTTGTGATCAATATTGCATTTCAGCTAGACTGCCATCACCTTTATTATATGACAAGATGGAAACATTACGGTGCATTTTAACTTGAACCTAAATAGGAATTTAAGATGAGTACCTTTTACTTTCTCCCCCTATACATAGTATATGAAGAAAGTATTGTTTTTACTCTATCCTCCTATACTAGTATATAGAGTATATGGAGAAAGTACGGTATTGTTTTGAGTTTTGAGTGGATATATCCGTTTTGGGTGCCCATGAACCCAAAAAAGTGGATTTCGAAGTGAGTTGTCTGTCCGAGTGTGTGTCTGTCTGTATGTGTGTACAGAGCTACAGACCACACCTGTGGCCCTATTTTGATGGAATTTAGTATGTATGTACTAATCCATGGCATCCCCAGGTGTAAATTAAGATTGCCTATTATTAAATCTGACTGTAAAGACTAATCATTACTCATAGGACATTTTTATATTACTTCTTTGCCGGATCTTCCTTCTACTTTTCTCTGGCCGCAAAGGTGGAAACGAGTCTACCGAGAGAATGTTAGCTGTGTTGAATGTTGTGGCAGTGTTGAAGTTTGATGCTTGCTTTTGTTGGTTCAGCCTCATAGACTCGGAGACGGACCATCCCGGCATCTCAGGCTCTCCTCGGTTGATATGAGTTGGAGGTACAGCTTGGTTTGGAAACGTCTGTGATTGTCGCATTGTATTTGAGCCTGAAGAACCTAATGGAAACAGCATTGTTGTTATAATTACTGTTAGAAATGACCTGCATAACATTTGTTATTAACTCTTAAATGTTTTCATAGTGCTTTACTCAGAAAATTTTAACTTGAATTGTCGCTTCAAAAAATCATGTTATTGAGAGGCTGTTTTATCAATATTTATACGTGTTATTAAGATGATTACATATGCTATTAAGGACACTCATTTCACAGAAGGGACATAATGTAATTAATTGTAGGGATTTTGAAAGGACACAAACTATTTTTGAAACCTTTGGAATTTGATAAATTTAGCTTTGTTCCAACAATTGCTCAGTACATTGAGATTAGTTATTTATTAATTGCTGCATGGGGCTTTGCCGTTTTGATAAACTAGTTTTTAAAATTTTTCCCTTTCTATTTTTCCTCTTCTGACCTAGTCTAAGAAAACATTAACTTATTTTTATTCATTATTTTTATGTTGCATTAAACATATGAAGTAGGTAACCTATGTGAATAAAGTTCCAATGTAAACTTGGGATAGATTTTTGTAAAATTTTGTATCAAATTAACATAAAGTTTTAAAGGAAAACAATATCAAATTGTTTTATGACAAGCTATGTGAATAATAGCTGGCTCAGAGCATAAGCTAGGTGTGGGTCCATGCAACTTGTACAAGATTACAATATTCACCTCTTCTTGCTTGAATCGTTGCATACCTTATTCAATCACTGCATTAGGCCTTACATGCACAGTGTATTGTGTATCTGCAGTACGGTATATACATTGTATTGAGTTGTGGTTAGGCGCTCACAACGTTTAAAACGTGAAAAAAATAACCTTGAAAACGCCGCACGTTGATATTGGTGCGGAGAAACGTCAGAGTAAGAGAACTTTTGTCTGTGATTTTATTTTTTATTTTTGTATTTTTAATCAATGTGTGTGTAAAATCATATACAGTACGAATAGAATAAATATAGACCGTTAGCTGTAAATTGATAATTGATAGGTTTGCCGTGTGGTTACCATACACACCGCTGCAGCGTCTGCTGGTTGCATACGGCTCCTGCGCTTCTCGCCTGCAGCGTTGTGTGCCGTAACTACACGGCACTCCTAGCGGTGGGCGCTGGAACTTTCCTTTGACAGTCTATATTTATTCTATTTGTCTATGGTACAATGAACTCGAACTGTGGTGACAAGGACTGTTCTGGTCCTGATTTCAAGTAGGTGAGTGATGCCCAAAAATACTTATCTAACTGAATTATTGACCTCACCTAAAAATCATGTCGTTTTAGAAATATAATCTACAGTATAGTACATAATCAATTAAAGAAAGACCTTGCCCCCAAGACAGGTGAATGAAGGAATTCTTTTTGAGTTCCTATACGAGGTCTCGTCAGGAGGGCTGTGTATATTTTTTAAAAGATAAGCTACATTTAATAAATTAAATAATTATTTTTACCAGCAGTTACAAGTTTTGTAGATGTTTTAGGAGCAGTCTCCCTCTTGGATGTTAAATGTTGGCAGTTGTGCACTGTACATTCACAGCCATTATTTGACTGCGTCACAAGTTGTTTTGCATCACAGATACTTTTTCCCTTTAGAATAAGATTTCCTTTTTGGTCTTTGGTTCTAAATACAATACTTCCCTCCTTTTCTTCCAGGAAGAAATAGATAGTATCACTAGAAAACTCATCTGTCGAATCTGTTGACACATGAAAGTAGTTAAGTGTTTATTCAATTACTTTCAAATACAAATGATTTGTAAGGTAGATGTCTTGGTTGTCATTCATAATAGAATAACAATAGAAGAGTTTAGTACAATAGTATCAGGTTATTTTAATTCATTGTTTACTGAAGAACTACCTATTGTTTTTTGAACACAGATTTTCTCTGTACCGTAATCATATTTTTTTGTGTAGTACCAAAATTTTGGAAATACAGGGTGTTTTCAAAATTGTCTTGACATATTTTGTGGACTTGTTTCTTGTGCTAAGACAAACATAAAATGCCATAAGGGTATGGGTCTAAAATGCCTAGATTTCTTTTTTCGGTCTGTTTGTGATTTATAAGAATTACCGGTATATCTTTATATCTTGGGCATATTTCAAGATAGACATTTCAAAATTGGTATACATTTATACAAATTTTGAAATTTCTTTCTTAAGAAATGTTAACGATATAAAATAATTCTTAAAAATCACAAACAGACCGATAAACAGAAATCTAGGCATTTTAGTCCCATACTTATATGGCATTTTATGTTCGTCTTAGCCCAAGGAACAAGTCCACAAAATATGTCCAGACAATTTGGAAACACCCTGTATAGGCCTACTAGTATTGACATTATTCAATGTATCACAGTTTTTAAATAAATAAGAATATATTTTATTTAGAATTTATGAGGAAGGACCTTTAAACTAGAGATAATTTTATAAATTTATTTTTGTAAATATGATTAAACTATTTTTGAGGCATTTAAAAAATTAAGGTCTATCATTTAAAAAGGTAATAATTTAACTTGCAAACTAAATTCCTCTTCAATATGATAAAATAACCAATATGCTTTAACATCAACATATTTAGTCATATTATAGAACAAAACAACACTACAGTTAAAGTTTGTCCAAAGCATTAAGAGGACTTGAAATGTGAGGATATTCTTTGACAAAGTATATTTTGACCTGACTTTGAATCATTGAATCTATATTCTTTGACTAAACAAACATAACTTACATTCGTCTCCTGAGTCCACACCTGAAGAAAAGGATAACTTCTTATTTACTCTTTCTGTGTTCAAATATAAGCTCTTTGGTCTTTCATCTTCTGTGAAATGCAAACTGCTCGGTTCCTTTTTGCTTGACGTGGCTACACTCTTATAAAGCTCTTTTTTCTTTGCACCTGAACAGTTTTATCTTAATGATTTCTTTGTATCTAGATTTTACCGTAGATCTAACCTACTGCACGGATTACATTAATTGTTCAAAGTTCACTTTTGGTGTTAATGTTGAGTTTATGTTTTTTAAGGATTATTGTGTAAATTTAATGTCTATCATTGAATAGTAAAACTGAAATCACACAAAGTTTCTGGATCTGGAATCTGTCCACGTCTTCAGGTAGGATGAAATCGCTAGAACTTAACAAGAGGAGAGTAAAAACCAAGCAAACACTGGGAAACACAATAAACGGGATTTTATTCGCCCCATGGCTATCACAAACTCATTCAAGTGAAACCCTTTTAAGATATAAAAATTGTTTTCATATAACGGGACTATTCCAAGTTTAGATGCATAGGCCTAGATTCAAAATATTTAATTTCTGTGGTTGTTCAAACTCATAATATTTAATGTATGATAATCCTTGTTAAAAACCCATAGTATTGTCAAAATAATTTAACTTATACTACAGTATATATTGGGAATCTTACCTGTACATCCAACCTTATTCCCAGTTGCCATCAAATTGAAATCCTCTGAAAGATCATATACGCTTGCATTTTCTCTTCCTCTAGCGTCAGACTCTTTCAGTCTTAGTATCTTCTTAGCCTCAGTTAAACTTGTGGCTCCTTCACGTAGAATAGATTTAGATACATCTTTGTCGGCTAGACCATTCACAAGCTTGAGCACCATCATTTCTTCTACAAAACCTTTACTCTTACACGTTTTACAAGACCAGTTACATTTCTCAGACAGTTTTTGAAGATCGTCTATGAACGAGTCGACTTTTTCTCCAGGCTTTTGATCTCTCCCCAAGAACAAAGCTCGGTGATAAAATTCATTCTTCCTCATTGCAAAATAATCTTCAAATGCAGCAACGACGGTGTTGAAAGATAGTCTTTTATCCTCAGTCATTCCCATGGAAGTGAGAAGTGGTTCTGCTTCTTCTCCCATGCAGTAGAGCAGCATGTTTATTTGACGTTCCTCGCTAGCAGACGACAGTGCCACTCCACTGTGAAACATCTTGTAACGTTTGATCCAGCTTTTCCAACCATTAGAGTCTTGAAAATTCAAAGGCTCGGGTGGTTTCACCTGTTCTGTCAGCAGCCATGACTTCCCTTGCTCGCTTTTGGTGTCTGAACAAAATTACAGAACACAGAAGTATTTAGAGCTGTTATAATTTTTATTTTTTAGTCATAATATTCCAGTGAATGTTCACCAGTTTCCCGACTATCCAAACCCCCTAGCTAATCCGAATCACCTCTTGGAGGAAAAAGTTCACTGTATTTCAAATTATGTATTAAATTAAAGGTAGTATATTTGTTTTGAAACATAGACTGACTAAGAAACCAAGAAAACCAAAACCAGGAATTGTACGTACATTTTTGTGGAAATCGGAAATTTTGAAGCCTATGGGTTCTTTAACCATGATCTATGTGTGGCATGTTTGTATTGACATGGGGTGGGTGTGTTCTTTCTCATATCGTAAATGCAATCGCAGGAGATGCTCACAAATTTTGACGAGATTCAAAAGATGATTACAGTGTTATTGTGTTGCGGTGGCAATACATAGCCACTTAGATTCATAAAAATACACCATTTTAATTTTTATAATAATTCAATTTTACCATACCACCTCTCCAGCCAAATTGAACAATTTGATTATCTGATCAAGGTGGGGTCCCGGTTAATTAAGTTTAGCAGGGCTCTGGTGTATATGTCAGCCTGTTTTTTTTTCAAAATCAAAGCTATACGTTCTTTATCAATGTAACATTTCAATGTGCTGTAAAAGTAAATTAAAAGAAAGATGAAATATTAAAACTGTTGTTATTTTCATTACCGAGTTAAAATGTTTTTGCAAATGCTTCACTTGTCCGATATTACCCAATTAGATAAAATTTATTATTTTAACATGGGAATTTTGAAGCACAATAGAGACAAGCTTGGGTAAATTTATTCTAATCTAGAGCTTCCATGACACCAAATATGTTACAGTGAAAAATTCACCCTCAAAAAAATTTATTCTAATGATATATTCACAATATTTATACACAATATTGTATATGTTGTGTATATGTTGTATATGATGTACAATATTTATTCAATATTTATACATTTTTTTGTGGTATTCTCACAACTGGTATAAAAGAGGGTTTTTCTAAAATTGTAATAAAAACATTACAAAACTGATCCCTTACTAAAATCTGTAAAATTCCAAAGGCTAAATGAATGTAAACTGATATTGTGAAGCAGGTGGATTTTGAACCGTATTTAAAAACAAGACAATTTTTATTTACGTAAGTGATGTGTTACTGTATGGAATGCTTAAAAATAAATGTTAGAACCTTTTAAACAAACTTGATGAGGTTTTGTGATTTATAGGTGCTATGGAGCCAACTCCAATGATGTAGTTGCGTTGCAGGAAATAATGTAAATTCCTCTCCAACCAATAACACTTACTCTGAGTTTGCTACAGTCTAAAAAGCTATTTTACTCCCTAATTATGTTTTTGACACATTGCAGCTGGTTTCTGGCAGCTGGTTTGAAAGTCATTGTTTACAATTAAGCTGGAGCTGGAGCACGTTAAATTTGCTGGCTTTATTTAAGTTGTGATGACTAAGTATCAACTATCAAGTAAATTACTGCATTGCTTAATAAACGGTATCAGCAATCTGACACATACTTTCTCCCATTGTCAACAACCTTTAACATGGGTAAGCGGTGGGAGTAAATATGATATTTTGTATGAAAAATCACTAAATTTGCAATAACTTTTGAACCATTATTTTTACGGAATGGTGTTTGTACCATTTTGCTCAGAATTTAAAGGACTATAACATACAAAACTTTTATCAACATCGTTTGGGCCATTTTCTAGAAAATCCATTTTTTGTTATCTATGGATTTTTATGGGAAAATTGCATTAAAAAATCTAAATTTGAAAAAAAACGCCTGGAGATACTATGGATTGGTACCTACGCCTACACATCAAATTTCATCAAAATCGGACTACAGGTGTGGTCTGTCGCTCTGTACATATCCACACACACGCACAGACATCACTTCGAAAACCACTTTTTTGGGTTCAGGGAGGCCCAAAACAGATATATCTACTCAAAACTGAAACTAAAAAAATTTTACGATAAGGGTACTTTCTCTATATACTATGTAGGCTATAGGGGGTTTGGAGAAAGTAAAACAATTTAGAATTAAATTTAGACATACCTTGGGATTTTCCAGAAGAGTTGCGTTTCTTCTTTCCCATGATTACCGAGAACTTTACAAACACAAAGCTTTGCAATAATTTATCAAAACTGAACCAAAACACTTTGAAGAAGTACAATTAATTTTTATTGTGTGGGGTAAATGTTATTAGGGTATCACTGTTTTAAAAAGTTTTTCATTAGCTATAGGACATGTCACTAAAGATTTTGCAGAATTAAAAACCAGTTTGACTTATTATTGCCACTTTTGTTGAAAAACAAATAATAAACTAGGTAGCTGTAGAAGTTCACATCATTATCTCATAACAGTCACTGATAGCATTGATAAGGTGCTATCACCAATTAGTTAGGGTTATGTCAGGAAATTACAATAGGTAAACTAAACCTCAGGTGTTTGCCAAACTGCCAAAATGTATTATGAAATAAATCATCCACAAAAGGACCTAAAATTAACAGAACTGGTTCTATAAAATGGAAGCTATGAAACTCACAAACTACTAAGAAATATTGTCACTCAGAACGAATATAACTTGCAAGATAATGCATACTGGTTATCTGAGAGTCTGTTACCAACTAGATGAAGCTACAGTTAATGGCAGCTGCAGAACAACAAACTCAGCAGAACAATCAAACACTTCTACATGTGGTACAACCATCGACATATATGGATTGCGCGCAGGCCGTAAGGCTCGTGTAGAGCTTTCCGAGCCAATACAGGTGTGTATAGGGGTTGCCGCATGGGCAAATTGAAGGCAGCATGTGGGATAAAGCGCGCGAAACAGTGTTTTCGACACCTGACCTTGGGCGCACGTGCGTGTTACAATAACCTCCCTCAGTCTCAGTCTACGTCTACATCCAATGGTGAGAAGTTGTGCTGCCTTTAACTGCACGTCCCAATGGAAGAAAGGGAGCGACATTTCATTTCATATGTAAGTAAATTATTCTTCAATTTGGTAAAATTTGAATACTGTAACGGCTATGACTATCAATATTTAACCGTAAATTCCTATTTATAATAACTGTTCTCATTGCATCTTTCACTTCAATAACTTAGATAGACCTACTATGGACATTAACACAGATATAAAAGAAATTGTAATGCTGGATGGGAAGGGTACCGGTACTGTTACAATTTCATTTATCTATAAAACAAACAAAAACTGTTAGTTTTATACTTTGATGCATATTTCAAACTTAAAAATGACACAATTCAGGAGTAGTGTGATTGATTTTGGAAATAACGTACGTAGTATACATAAATACAGTTTGGCCAAACTAAAGGCCGGATTGAAAATAGAGACCCAAGAACAACTAGTTTTAATTTGTCGGCCATACATTTTAACTTGTTGGATATTACAGTCAAAGATATATATTATAGTTTCCTTAAAATATAATATAATTACACATTTTAATTCAGCTGGCATTTCTTTGACTATTCATTAAATTTTCTTTGTAGATTTCCTTTGAAGAATCCTGCACTTCTCAAGAAATGGGTAATAGCAACCAAAAGGAAAAACTTTGTCCCAACTCAGTTGACTTCCCTGTGTAGCAAACATTTTACTCCAGAGGATTACGAACCCCATGTTTATCCCAATCAAGTGAAGAAAAGGCTAAAGCATGATGCAGTACCAACCAAATTTGAATTTCCCGGACACATGCAACAATCATCACCTAAAAAGAGAAGGACAATCAACAGAAATCTATCATCAGTAAGTGATTTGGTTTTTGTCTGTACTAATGATTGTAATTATTTCAATTGCAGCACGATCTTTTTGGTAGTACAATTGCTTATTTAAATTAACGGTATTTTTTACTACTGTATAGCTCAAAAGATAAATATTAGTTTATTTATGATAATAAACCATATTTTTATATTTATACAGGCCTCTCCACAAGATAAGCCGCCAGAACCAATATTACCGGCTGCAGACGACTCCACGAGTGGTGACCAATTGTCAAGAGATGCCTATCCACAGTCAAGTCCTACAAAGACGGGTGCAGAAGCCATCACAATACCACAGAAGCCTAATTCTACGACTGGGGAGAAAAAGGTAGAGTGTATTTGTAATAAGATATAATAAAGTATATCGGTAGTTCATAACGCATTCTCCCCAATAAAGGTTACTTCAAAAAGCTTATTCTCTAAATCTAAAAAAATATACACTTCCGGTTATCTTTACTTTTGACATATTGGTCTAATATTGATACTGTTTTGTAACCGGTACTGATAATTTTAGGTTAAAATTAATAATCCGTTACATAAAGTTACTAAAATTAGATATAAACAAAAGATAACTAATAACTATAAATAAACTATTTTATTAAACTATTTTACCGTATTAATTAACTATTTTATACGGCAAAGTCGTTTTATTCTTTTTAGATCCCACCTACACCAACTAAATTGCGACTTCGGCGCAAGATTAAGGTACTCCAACAACGACTGAAAAGGAGGGAGAGGAAAATTAAAACAATGAAAGATGTGATTACACTACTGAAAGAAAAGGTCAATGCCCCTGTAAAGCTATTAGAAGTGTTAGATGATAACTTTTCTGGCTTCCCATTAGAATTAATTGTACACTCTTTGAAAAATAAGAATGAAGCTAAATGTAAAAAGACATATTCTGAAAAAATGAAGGAGTTCGCATTAACTTTATATTTCTACTCCCCAAAAGCTTATTCCTTTTTGAGGAATAATAAATTTTCATTACCTAATCCGTCAACATTGAGGAAATGGGTAGGCAGTTTTAACTGCATGCCCGGATTTCTTCAAGAGGTGTTTCAATATTTAAAACAAAATGTCAGTTCTTCTCCATGTTTACAAGATGTTAACCTTGTATTTGACGCAATGAGCATTCGAAAGCAAATCATATACGATCACCATGTAGGTAAGAATTTTGGATATATTAACTTAGGTAATGAATTTAACGGAGGTGATTCTGAAACTTTGGCTACGGAATCATTAGTGTTTCAAATTGTAGCATTAAGAGGTAATTTTAAATGTGCTGTAGGTTACTTCTTTATAGACAAGCTAAGCTCTGAAGTCTTATCTAAACTAGTTAAGACGTGTGTATTAAAGTTGTTTGAAATTGGTGTTAGAGTCCATAATGTAACATTTGATGGGACAAGCTCAAATATAACAGCCATGAAAAAGCTTGGATGTGAATTACCAGCACGTCCATTTTTTTATGTAAACCACAATGGTATGGATCATAAGGTTACAATAATGTTAGACGCTTGCCATATGCTGAAATTAGCCAGGAATACGTTAGCTGATAAGGTTACTATTGAATCTGTGACCGGAATTATTGATTTTAGATTTCTTCAAAAACTCAGTTCCCTACAAAATGAGGAGGGTCTTAGTTTAGCCAATAAACTGTCCGACAAACACATATTTTTCAGAAATAGGAAAATGAACGTCAAACTTGCTGCACAGACTTTAAGTTCAAGCGTTGCCGACGCGCTAGAGTTTTTACTAAAGAATGACCATCCTGATTTCATAGGTTGTGAGGCAACAATTGAGTTTTTGAGGATTATTGATCAATTGTTTGATTTTTTGAACAGCAGGGATCCATTTGGGAAAAATTTCAAAGCACCGATTAGGAAGGACAATTTAGAGTATATAAATGGTATGCTACAGAAATGTTTGAACTATTTAACCTGTTTGAAAATTGAAAAAGTTCCTATTCTCAATCATGCTAGGAAAACGTTTGCTCTCGGCTTCATCACCAACATCCACACGATAAATATTTTGATGAAAAGTTTATTAGAGGAGCATGAATTTAAGTACATATTAACGTACAAGTTTTCTCAAGACCACCTGGAATTGTTATTTTCCTGTATAAGATCTCAAGGAGGAAATAACAATAATCCAAATGTGAAACAGTTCCAGTGGGCTTTGAGAAAACTTATGTTTCGCAATAGTGTCCAGCCATCTGATAAAGGCAATTGCTTATCATTTGACTTCAATCAACAAAGTTCTGTAATGAGCTTCAACGAATTATCCCAAGTAGTTGGACATAGTGATGAAGCCGATGATGCTGATGATATAGAGCGTATGTCATACATGTTAGAAGGCATAGAAGAGTCGTCGTACTATAAAGACAATGTACTATATTATATTTGTGGTTATGTTATTCGAAAGTTGGATCCTAAACTGAAATGTGAAGAATGCAGTAATCTTTTGGTAACTGGCGATTCAAATCCAAGCCCTTTCACTAATTTTACTGATTTTCTGTCAAAAGGAAAATTAATCAGGGCTTCGCCAGATGTACTGAAAATTGTTAAGTTCATGTACAATCAAATTGTTGCATATTCCAAAGATTGGCAAAAATTTGATGCTTCAAAAACTATTTTATTAGCATGTAGAACCTTTGCTGGTAACGTTTTTCTTAATCATAAAGGTAATAATGAATTTGGCGAGGAAAGCCATGACATGAAATTGATCAAACTAATTGGTATTATGTTTAACAAAATTATATGCCACAGCATTTCTAAGCGTAAAACAGCAGAAGCTTCTCTGTCAAAGCTTGGTATGCGGCAGAAGTTAAATAAGCTTATTCTTTTTAGCAATGTTTAGGCTAAATATGTTTCTTTGTTTTACAAAGTTTCCTAAATAAAATGTTTCTTATACAATCTAACCTTGTTCTTACTATTACCTTACCCCTGAATATTTTGTATTTTACGAGAAACTAATAAAACCCATTTTTTAACATAGACTATTTTGTATTGTATTGTAACATTGAAACATAATTGTTTTCGTTAGAGTAGTAAGTGAAGAAAGAACCAAGTCATAAAGGTTTCTTAATTGTACTATTTTATTACTTCTATTCCATCATTAAAAAAAATAAAATCGGAATTAAAATTATATTTGATCAGAAACCTCAGTGTGAAATATCCGCCGTCAGTTAATATTTATTAATTGTAGTACCCAAACTCGGTTACTCGCAGCGTTATTTTTACACTTTTATTACTTGTACAAAAGTTCATGAAAATTGATTATTAAAGTGCCTTACAACGTTTTAGTAGAGAGTAAAGGGCA